GAAATGGCTCCGAGGGCCTGTCTATTTCAAGAGAACATGCCATGAAACACTTAGTAAAGTCTCTTTAGTGAAGGAAGCAGACATCTCATTAAGGGCTGAGATGTGATTTCAGCCCTGAGGGCCAGACTAGGGGTGGGGAGAGGCGGGGACAGTCACGTCTGCTGGGTTTCAGCGGTGGACGGACACCAGGACAGGACAGGTCAGAGGAAGGGGCCACGCTGAGGCCTGAGCCACGGGCCAAGGCCAAACCCGCTCATGGTTCCATTCAGCAGAGCAGAGGGAAAAGCGACAGGCGAGGCGGGGACGGCAGCGGGGGTGGGGGGCACAGCTGGGTCGAGAGCTGACTGCCTGTGAACAGTGAGGAGGAGTGGGAGAAGGAAGGCCGAGGAAGTGGTGTTTGGGTTCCAGTGATCGGCCTGCTGGGGGCCTGATCACAAGCGGAGGTGGTGGCATTGGGAAGAGAAGCAGCTTGAGCCAGAGAGATTCAAGAGCCAGAATCTGTGGGACCTAGTGATGTTTGGGGCACAGGGGTAGGAGGAGGAAGGACACAAGAGGGCCTCCCACACATCCAGCTCTGGTGACTGGGACGATGAGGGACCAGCAGAGCAGGAGCTGTTTTCATGCGGCCGAGGATGGAGACGTTGAGTCGGGGTGGGAAGTGAGAGGTGGGGGTTGGGCTTGTGGTGCCTGTAAGTCCCCATCGTGGAGGAACCCACTGGATAAGGTGTAGGATAACGTGGCTGTGGCCCAGGGCAGAAACGGGGCTGGAGGTAGGGAGTCCAGGGTCAGTAGCCTCTGGGGAACAGAGCCACAGGAGTGGGTGAGGCTGCCAAGGGGATGTGCCAAGGAAGAACAGAAGGCCAGTGCTAGAGCCCCGGGGACACTACAGACCAGCAGAGAAGGATGCCAAGAAGGCAGGCTGGAGAGAACAGAGGAATCTGGGGCAACTGTGGTGCCACGGAAGCCAAAAACTGAAGAGTGTATCAAGAGGCAGAGACCGTTCAGTGCCACGAGCTGCTGCAGAGAGGAAAAGCGTCCACAGATTTAACAGCCAGGGTAGATGGGGCCCTGGCGTGAATTAGAAAAAGGTGCCCCTTCCTCAAGGTAGTTCCCTTCTATCCAAAAACTGTAACACACTGGTTTTATTAGAACAAAACACTTTACTGCCATCTGTGGGAAAATTGTTATAATAAATATTAAACTCATGATGTCTTAGATGTGGTGCCTGTACACGGCTGCCCTGGTTATCAACGACTGCAGTAAAAAGTCTTCAGGGGAGCAGAACAAAATCTACCAACAAGGATGCTTTGAGCTGTGGGCAGCATACTACCCAACCAAAGATGGCCTAAACAATAAGGAATTTATGACTTCTGGAAATAGGAAAGTTCCAGAGTTGGTTCTTTCTCAGTGGCTTCCTGGAGAATCAGGTCCTTGCCACCTTCTGTGTGCCCACTTTCTTCCTCAAGCTTGTCGCCTCATGATCACAAGCTGGCAGCCATGGCTCCAGGCATTACATTTTTTCCACAAGATTAAAAGGCAAAAGATGAGGATGTTTCTCCTTGTATGTCCTTAGTTATCAGGGATAAAACTTTCCTAGAAGCTTTCCCAGCTACAGCTTTCCCCAGTACACATATCTATAACCACTACCACATTCCCCTTACATCTCACTGGCCATAAATGAATCACATGCCTCTTCTTAAAACAATCATTGACAAGGATAATGGCTTTACTATGATTGGCTTGATCTAGTAAGACCCCTTCCCCGAGGTGGGGCAGGACTTCTTTCTTAGCACTGAGCCATAGCGGGAAGGGACGGGGTGGCTGTTGGCAAAAGAGACCCACTGAGTCAACCATGGGGATGAAGTCAGACCACAGTGGGTGGAGCAGTGAGTGCAAGGTAAGGGCATGGAGACATGAAGTGTGACGCTTTCTAGAACTTTGTGAAGGGACGAGAGACCATACCAGCAGGAAGACATGGAGGGAAGGAAGGGTATTTTGACTGTACTTTAAAGGTGTCTGAACATTCTTGTCCGTAAGGGACTCCATGAGTGGTACCGCGACTCTTAAATTCAGGCAAGTGGGAGTCCTTTGGAATTTCCCACTCTTCCCCCCGCCCCGCCCCAGCCCTGACCAGTCAGCTCCCCAGGCCCATCTTTCCAGCTGCTCAGGGTCTCCACAGCCCGGGATCTCTCTCCCAGAGTTTCTCAGCAGCAGCACGACCAGCACTGTGGGCGGGATGGTTGTGGGGAGGGTGTGCCCTGTGCATTGCGGGATGTTTAGTAGCTCCAGGATGCCAATAGCACCCTCAGCCCCCTCATCCCTGTTGATGCCAATCAAAAATACCTCCAGACACTGCCAGATGTGCCCTGGGGAGCAAAATCCACCCTAGTCAAGAACCGCGGCTGGCTCTGTGCCCTGTGGAGGGAGACTCTCGCAGATCCGCGAACCGTTTCTGGTCCTGCCTAGTCCTCGCTCTCCCTACTGTCTTGACCCTGTCCTTGACCCTGTAACCCTTGAGTATCAGTGTGTTGTGATTACCCTTCTGCTCGGCTCCCTCCCCTACTCCACTGTGAGCTCCAGGAGGGCAGGAGCCACGTTTACCCGGCTCAACATGGTATCTCTAGAGCCTGGCTCCCTGCTTGGTACACACTCGGCGCGTGTGTGTGCGCGTATTTCTTGAATGAATGAATGAATGAATGAGTGACTCCTGCCTTGCCTTTAAGATCTTCCCCAGTTGGCTCCTGGACTAATGGACCGGCTGTCTCTAATGCTCTCTGCATCAGGCCGCACAGCATCCTAGGCAACTGCTCTTCACCACTTGCGGTCGTAGACCTTGTTGTGAACGGGGTGTAATCTCTAGACCCTCTCCCCGTCACAGGCCATGGGCTATATATACCACCTGACACCCCATCCTGTGCTCCTAAAAGACTCCTGCCCCCCAGAATAAGAGCAAAGAAGCCACAATTCCAATCGAGGCCGGTCCAGCTTTAAGTCTGTCTGTGCTTCCCCGTCACCTCCAGAATGAAATGCTAACTCAGCTGTGGACACGGGCCCTACAACACCCTGCCTCGCCCCGAAGTAGCCAGGCTCTCAGACAGCTGGAGACTTGATCTCTGTCTCTGCTCCTCAGCACACCTGTCCCTTCCCGGCCACCGGGCCGGTCCAACACTCCACTCAGAGGGCATCCCTTCTCTAGAGTCTCCTGCCCTCCCTGTCCCAGGGCATCCCTTCTCTGGTACTCTCAGAAGGGTACAAATAACCATGCTTTCCTGATACACTTTTCCAGCCCTAGGACTGGAGCCAACTTTAGGCTGAAGCCAACCCTGACGAGGGCAGAGCAGAGAAAGAACGCAAATTCTTGATGACCTAATTGAGGAGCTGGATCGGCCCTTGCCTGAAGTCAGCCCTTCTGGAAGTTCCATTTCCGTAAAGCTGTTATATTCCCTTTACTAGTTTAAGTAATGTCTTCTTTTATATGCAACTCAGCGCAGCAAGAAAAAGCAAATGAATAAATGAGAAAATTAATGAATAGGCACAGTGGCCCCCTAAACTCATTTAATCCAGCTGCAAGTTGCATGGTGTGCATTTATTTCCTCCAGTCTTCCTGTACCTGTAAGAAAAGGAGAACTTTCTTTCCAAAACTCACACTCCCCTCCTTCTCCAGAAGCTGGTTCCATGAATTATCGCATATTCTCTCTTGTGTCTTTGCTCTTTCCCACCCCAGTGGCTTCCTCCTCTCCACCTTCAAATATTCTCCGTTCTCCTCAGCTTCTAAAGCTCTCTGAGCACCTCCTGAAGCTGCAGCCCCACCTCTCCCTTCCTTGTGTCTCACCTTCTCTGTGGGATCGCCGACGTTCACCGCCTGCACACAGGCACGCATTGTGGGCATTCAGGGAAGGCTCACTCCCCAGAAGAGTTTTTGACCGCGGCCCCTGCTGCCTGTTCTGTGTGAGGTATGGCCACCTGGCTCCAGGGTTCAGGTGTCAGGGTCTCAGGACGGGCCACCCTGGTGCTCAGGGCCCATGCAGAGCAAGGACACTGAGGGCCTCCTCCAGCCAGAATCTCGCCTAAAGAGATAATCACTCCACTTCCAAGATGCAACTTCCTCACCCAGGAAGTTTCGGGCCATCAGCCCTGTGCCAGTCACCCCGCGTCCTGCTAATCAGGGGTGGGGATGAGGGCCTTAGTGTGGGTCCCAGAGTGCAGTGAAGAGCCAAGGGGGCTGGAAGAATCACCCTGGGGCCTTAGGGCCTGGACCGCAGGAACAGGCTCACAGCAAGAAACAGAAGAAGCCTGCCTGGGGAACGGGAGGGGAGGCGGCCAGGCTGTGCTCCAGAGTTCCAGCCCCTCCGGCGAGAGAGGCAGAGGCCTCTATTCTGGAAACACGATGTTTTCATGCTCTTTGTTTTTTCTCTAAGTCTGTTCTTGCTGCTTCTGTAGACGAAGCCTGATTCCTGCAGGAGATGTCAGACCAACAGCTACTGCAATGCTTCAGACCACAAGAAAAAGGTGCATTTGTCTAGACTGGATCTTGAAAGCAGGGTGAGGAAACAGAGGGAGGGAACCCCAAGAAATCCCAAGAGGAGGGGAGACCAGGTCACAGCCAGGGGTCCAGCAGCCCTCCCTGCCTGGAGAGCTTCTGGCCCACCTCTTTCCAAGGGGCTCCACATGCAGACAGTGGACCCTCTTCCCAGACGTGGTACAGGTAACCGCCCACCCAAGCAAAGGGCAGCGTGGGAAAGGAAGAGACCATGCCTGAGGGAGGAAGGCCCGGGGGTGGGGAGGGGGGATTCCTGGAGCAGAACATTCTGGGTCCCCAGGCAGGCCAAACACCATGGCTCAAAGCCCAGTCCACCCTACCAGTCTTGTTGAAAGGTACACAGTTCTGCTGGGAACACTGAGCCAGAGGTGGTACACACCCCTCACACCACCCACCCAGACACACGGCCCACACCGTCACCCCCATTCGGGAACCACAGAGATACACACAGCAGCGCCGCTTTGTGGTTCAAACTGTTTTATACTGAAATACATCGGGGCTGATCCCAAACAACGTTGGTGGGGGAGAAAGAAATGATGAAGCGGGGAGATCCCAGGGCTCGATGTCACCAACACTCAGAGCACATGCCAGTCCAACTGTCTGTCTGCCCACCCCGGCAGGAGTCAGGCCTGGACGTCCGGAGGAGGTCAGCTGAGCCGGGCAGAGGAGGCAGCCAGTCCCAGGTCCGAGAGCCCTCAGCTGAATGGCTTCACCAGCTTCATGGCAGCATAGTTCTGGAGGGAGGGAGGAGGCAGGGACATGTGGTGACAGCTGCCGGGGACTTGGAGGGGGGAAGGAGGCTCATGCACTCAACCACCGCCTGCCCCTCGCCTTCACCGCCCCACCGTGCCCACGCTCTCCCGCCACACAAGCCCACACCCTCCTGAACTCCACTCACACCCTCACCCGGGGCCTGCACTGCCCTGTCCTCTCCCCCGTCAATCCAGGGCCCACTCCCAGATCCCAGCTGGCAGCCAGGAGGCCGCTTCTATCAGACAGGTGGCCTGAAGGCATGGCTCTGATTCTCCCCACCCGCCTCCCACACTCCCACCATGGGAACCCAGGGCCCATTGGCGACCACGCTCCTGTTCAAAACGCAGAGAGTTGGGGGGGGTGGTGCTCGGGGACGACCCACCACTCAGGTCAGCACTAGAGATGGGTCACCCCTGATTAAGCTCTGGCTGCTGCAGGACTGGGCAGGAATCTCCCCTCCCCCTTCCTCCCCCCAAAACCATGAAAACACATACAACACAACACAGGGCTCCTAATTGGGACAGCATGTTCCCCAGCGCCGCCCGGGAAAGCCAACTCTGGAAACAAAGCCGCGGCTCCTTCCCCGCCAGATCGCCTCCTGCCTCCCCACGCTGGCCCTGCTCCCGGCTGCCTCTGCGGGAGAGCTGGGGGGAATCGGACAGGCTGCCCTCCTGGTCCCCCTCCCAGGGGAATTTCCAAGAGGGCAGGGGATTAGGCCAACAGTGGGGAGCAGGCCTGGCCTCGGGCCCCTCTCCGCCGAGACCTGACAGCCGGGTGAGGGTCACGGGTCTGGGACCACCAGGTGACTGGAGAACCCGGCCCAGCTTGGAGCAAAGGCTGGAAGCAAAACCAGCCTGCAGCCTCTGAGCCGGGCCGCGCCTCTAGCCCTGACCCCTCACCTAGGATCTGACCTCACGTGCCAGCTCTGGGAGAGGGAAGGCAGGCTTGGTATTTGAAAGGACAACTTCTAGAAGATCTCAAAGGAGAGTGCTGCTGCTAGCTGGGGACCCAGGAGACGGGGAGGGCACTGACCAGGGCCTGCCCGCGGAGCCTGGGGCTGAGGCTGCCCTAGGGATGACACTGGATCACAGGCTGGCAGTGACTGGAATCTTCCCTCCTTCCCAGCCAGGCAGCGGGGCCTCCTTCCCCAAGGGCCCTGAAGGCCTGGTCTGCTGCCCAAGTGCCTTGCAGGACAGACCCGGCCGGCCAGGGGCAGGGCTGGGCAGAGGAAGGCTGGTGGTGATGTTTGGGCCTGTCCCTGCACACCGTCTCGGCTCTTCGGCAAAAGGCTGGCTTGACGAGCACCCCACCCAACCCCAGGGAAGGCCAAAGAGCTCCCCTACCCCCAGCGCCAGTCACAGCAGGTCAGCGCTGACCCAGTCCAGCCCCTTTCTCAGACGGATGAGAGGGCCCCGCCATGGTCACCAGAAGTCACTGGCAGAGCCCGAACCCAGCCAATAGCTCCTGACTCCACATAGAGCTCTGTCCCATACAACAGTGACGCTCAGACCTTAATGTCCCCAAGACAGAGTCCAGCAGACTGAGGGCTGGCTCAGGACTCTGCACTTCTTAGCAGCTCCCTGGTGCAGCTATGCTCCTGAGACCACCTCCTCAAGGAGCCAGCGTCTACATCAGCTCCCTTTTGCCCCAACTCCCTGGCCCGGCCTCACGGTGGAGCATTAGACTGTCCCCTGTGCCCGCCTCGTCCACTGGCTTCTCCTTGCGGGCTGACGACTCCCCTGCAGCAGAGCCTCGTTGCCCTCTCCCTCGACCACACGACACGCCCTCGCCTCCTGGACACACTCCTGGACCCGAACGATGGCTGGGTACCCCCCAAATGAGAGGCGGTGAGCCTGAGGACAGGCCAGATGGGGCCTGCCCCAGGGAGGAGACACAGAGGACATGGAGGTGCAGTCCTGGGCCTGACCCCAGACCCCGGGTCACGGCCATCCTGGCTCTAGACCCTCCTTTGTCATTTAGGGCCCAGAGGGTAGCCGGGGCCCAGACGTCCAAACCAGATGTCCCCTCTGCTGTTCCCACTGCTCACGATGTTAGGGCCTGAAGGGGACGGCTCTGTGGCTTTAACTCCTCCTTGTAGGAGGCACACTCTGCTGGTGCCAGGCCTCGCCAGCTACAGCGGGAGAGCGCGCTCCAGCCCCCTCCTTCTCCTGAAGGATTCACCGCGCAAAGAGCTCACAGGTGGGTAATTCCCGGAGAGCACTGCCCGCTGTGGGGACAGTGTGCTTGGCCGGGGACCTGGCCCTGACCAGGACTGTGGCTGCAACCCTAGATGGGGAGCTGTGCACAGACTGCCTGCAGCCCTGAGCTGGTCCCTCCTCTCTCTGGGTGTCTGTTTCTTTCCATTCAAATCAGGGGGACATGGAGTTGATTGAACCATTCTCTCTACTTTTATATGGGTTTGAAGTCTTCATATTAAAAAGTAAAATAACAAAAAATTAAAGAACATTAAATATCAGGTGTCAGCCTGGGAGCACTGCGATCCCTTCAAGGTTTGAGGTGCCATAGACCCGGGGGGTCTGCTGTGAGGGCCAGGGAAGCAGGGCAGGGGAGAGCCCAGACCCTCCTCCCTCGGAGGGGCCCCCCGGCCTCCTGTGGCTGGGTGCAGCCGCCCCCGCTAGTGTGGCCCTGGTGACCCTTAGTCAGGCAGCTGCTGGCTTCTCACCAGGTAGAAGGGGTCCCAGTGTTCACTGTGCCCGTGAGAGGCTCCTGGCCCACCCTCTGCTCGCCCACACCTTGCCCCACACCCACCCCGCTTCAGGAGACAGGACACACTCTGCCGGGGTCCTCAGGTGGGCACTGAGACTCTCTCCCAGCCCCAGGTCCTCCTGTGCTCTGGACCTCAGCAGGCACCATCTTCACTAACAGGAGCCGTTTCCTCCACTCTGCCATCCACACTTTCTCTTCCCTTCCAGACCCACATCCTCCTTTAAGAAGCTTCCCCTGCCCATGCTTGCCCAAGGGGCTTCACCTTCTGCCAACCTTGATGACACTTTCCAGGAGTTTGCTGAGGACACTGCGTCTCCCCATCAAGAGGGGAACTCAGATTCCCCCTCTTGGACTAAGAGCTCCCCAAGGGTCTCCCCACCAGCCTGGGGGCTCCCCAGAGCAGGGGCCACGTCTCCCCCATCAGGCCATGGATGCCCCAAGGACAGAGGCTGCTGCTCTCCACCAGACAGGGGGTGAGCTTTGAGGACAATGACAGACTCCCCTGAGACCAGGAGCTACTGGAGGCCAAGGGCTGTACCTCCCGCATCAGACCAGGAGCTCCTCCGAGACCGGGCCTGTGCCTCCCCGTCAGGCCTGCTCACCGGGAAGGCGTAGACGAAGATGCCCAAGAAGAGCAGCAGGACGAAGAGGATGATAAAGAGGATGATGGCCCACCGGAACCGCCGCCACAGGATGAACTTCATGGTCTTGTACGGCGAGGTGAACCAAAGGAAGGAGGTGTCAGGGCGCCTGCAAGAGAGATCCCAGAGGTCAGCGGGGCGCCCCCCTCTACCCACAGATCCCACCCCAGCCTCAAGGACCTCAGCTCCAGTCCCCAGACCCAGCCCTCGGCACCTGCATCCCCGCCTCCTCCCAGCCTCTGCTGCGCTGTGAGTACCCTCTCCTCTTCCTGGTGTCAAGCCCTGCACATCCTCAGCCACCCTGTCCAGCTCGCCCTCCCTGCCGCTCTCTCCTTCCTGACCCAGGACTAAATTACAGACTGGAGGTTTGGGAGCTGGGCAGAGCCTCAGGGGCTCCACGTTAGATGAGCTATGGCCCACTGAGCCCCAGATAAGCTAAGCCACCTGCCAAGATGCACACGGCTGGTCCACAGCCAGGGAAGGGTGGCAGGAAGTGAACCCAGAAGGCTGATTTTCTCTCACTCACAACCAAGAACCTCAAAAACTTCCCCTAGGTCAGCCTCACAATTCAAAGAGCAAGCAGGATTTTGTGTCTCAATAATGGCCATTTTAACGCCTGGCTGCATGCCGCTGGGGCCTCTGGGTCTCTCCTGTCTTTCCACCCAGATCCCAGCATCCCTGGGCAGGGGTGCCTCTCACAGCTCTGCCAGCCCGTGGCACTCAGGACAGCACTGTGATAAAGCATGCCGTCTGTCTGAAGTCTGACTTGAGCCGAGGAGAAGTACCCAGCAAATGCAGCCCCAACCACAGGAGGGCCATGGAAGGCAGCTGGGTCAGAGGAAAGACTTTGATCAGGCTCCAGCGCCAATCAGACCAGGCAGGAGACTTTCAGCTTCACCACTTTCTTATGACCTTACTTAACTTTGCTGAGATTGTTTCCTCATCTGTAAGGTGGGGATGCAAATTAACGATTGCCCAGCAGGGAAGGGTCCATAACATGACATTCACATGCCGTATGACAGCACGCTGGGCCTGCAACCAACCGCTGCCAACAGCGCCTGCTTCTTGAATCAGCTGAGATGCCTGGTGTGCCCTGGAAATGATGTCTGTCACCTGCCACGTAACAGTGTGCCCTCGGATGAGTCGCATCCCCCTCTGGGCCCTGTGGGCCTTGGGACCTCTGCGTGGCTATGCAGTGGGCCTCCTGTACTCTGGCCATGCCTCCCAGTCCCCTTGGGCATCAGGGGTCAGGGGCTGGGCACCAACCTTGGGTCCTCGAGTTTCGGGTTCATGTTGGGCTCATCCCGGCCCTGGCCGGCCGGACGCTCCTCGTGCTCACTCTCCGCTACGATCTCCAGGGTCATCTCCAGCTTGCCCTGCGGGGACAAGAGGGACCTGGTCAGGGGCACAAAGGCTCTGCCCCGTGGCTTGGACAGGAGCCAGGCCAGGCCAGACGTATGGGCCACTTTATAATATCTTTTTAAAAAGATGTAAGAGGATCTGATTATAAAAGTACCTGCTCTTCATAGAACATTTCAGAACTATAGAGATGTATAAAGAAAGGAGATAACTCAGCCGAACTTCTGCTATGTGGAGATAAGCACTCAATACTTTATGCATCAGGGCTGTTTTTCTCTGCTCATATGTATCTGTGTGTGTATATATATAGTTCTATAGCTTGTTTCTTTCATTTAGGAATGTATTACATTTTTTACATGTTTACATTCTTTCAAATTTGCTTTTAATTGCTATAAAACATTTATGCAGTGGTTGACCAAAATTAAACAATTTCTTTTGGTTCATTTAGGTTGTTTCCAACTCTTTGCTGTTATGAATTATGCTGTAACACCCCCAAAAACTAAATTTTTAATTTTCTTTCATTATTTCTTTTGGAGAGATTTTAGAAGTGGGATGTCAAATTTCAAGGGCATAAAGATGTTAAGTCTCTGGCTATGTATTGCCAAATTATTTCCCTAAGTGGTTAAAATCATGAGCCTGTTCAGTAGCAGTAAATGAGGGCCCTGTCTCTCTGCCATCTTCACCAGCAATGAGCAGTTCTAGTTTGGGCTTTTTTTTTTTTAGCTTTCTTGAGACATGGCTGACAAATTAAAATTGTATCTATTAAAGGCATACAACTTGATGGGTTTTTTTTTTTGAGCAGTTCCAGTTTTTAAAAATTCTAATATAATACATAAGAAATGTTTTCACATTTTAAAACATTCCTTTATTTCATTACTAGGGGGAGTGAACTTTTAATATACTTAATGGCCTCCTGTACTTTGTGTGTTATCTATGCGAGCCCTTTGCTCATTTTTCTCTTGAGGTGTTAGTATTTCTTGTTAATGGTTATAATTTCTTATCCAACATGGATATTTGATTTCAAGGGCCACTCTGGGGGTTGACTGGCTGCCTGCCATTTCTAGGTACAATTGACCCTTGAACAACATGGGTTTTAACTGCGCAGATCCACTTATACACAGATTGTTTCCAGTAAACAGCAGTCACCCCCACCCCCTCATTGGCAGGTTTTGCATCTGCGGATTCAACCAACCACTGAGGGCCAACCAGGTTGAACATCTGTGCATTTTTGTATGAGTAGGTTTCTGGAACCAATCCCCAACGGATATGGGGGGACACTAATACATCATCAGTCATTTACCTCCTCTGCAGAGGAAGGACAGTTCTCGATGGTCCCCCGTCACACCCCTGAGCAGACCTCTGGCTGGGAGATTAGTACCAAGACAGTCCCTTGTAGGGTCCTGCTCAAATGGGAGCGGCACGACCCCTGTCCTCAGGAAGCCCAGCCCAGGACACCGGTCACTGGGAAGACCAAGGAGCAGAGTATAAACTAAACAGGGTCCAAAGGAGACGAAGGCATCTTTTGATTTAAATAGGCTTCCCTGGGATGCGAGCTTCAAGGAGAGGAAGGCTGAGAACCATCAGGAAAGAGGCACAGTGTCTAGGGAAACACAGGGGGAGGGCAGGAGAGAGGGACAGGAGCATGTCTGTGCCCAGGGACTTCCATGACAGAGCCCCCTGCACCCCAACTGGCCGGAGAGACAGACTTACCGCCAGTATCTTCTTCTCACCCTCGTCCGCCACACAGGGCCACCAGCCCTTCACTGTTTTCTGTTCGAAAAGGGACACAAATCGCTCCGGGTGGAAAGCGTCATCCAGCTGGTCCAAGGAGCACTTCTCGGCTGTCTTGGTGGGCTTGGGCATGCGGTTGAGGTCCAGCTGCAAAGAGCCTGTGGCAGGGGAGGGTTCTTTGGCCTGGGGTTTCTCAGTCACTGCCAGCCTAGGGCCACCCTGGGGCTGGGCAGGTTCAGAAAAACTCACAGCCACCTTTCAGCTTCTATTGATGGCCTTGGCCCCGTGGCTCAATCCCCAGCTCCCCACCCATTGCCTCTCATTCCATCCATACAGCTTCCCAACCATCTATTCATGCATCCATACACCCGTTAGTCTCCCCTTCTTGATTTGCCCTTAACAGAGCTTCCCACCTGCTCAAATATTCATCTTTCATTCAGCCATGGTCAACACCTACCATCCATCAATTCTTTGAATTGCTTTTATTGCAGTAAAATATATATAAGATAAAATTTGTTATTTTAACCATTTTCAAGTGTGTACCTCAGTGGCATCACTTAGAGTCACGATATTGTGCAACCACTGCCATTACCTATTTCTAAAACTTCCTCACCCCCAAACAGCGTTCTGCACCCATTAAGTAGTAACTCACCATCCCCGTCTCCTCTCAGCCCCTGGGAATCTCTAATCTACTTTCTGTCTCCGTGAATAAGCCTATTCTGGAGCGTTCAGATATGTGGAATCATGAACTATTTGTCTTTTTGTGTCTGGCTTATTTCACTTGGAATAATGAGTTTTCCACATTCATCCATGTTGCAGCAAGTATCAGTACTTCATTCCTTTTTATGGCTGAATAATATTCCATGGTATGTATATACCACATTTTGTTTACCCATTCATCTGTTGATTGGCACTCGGGTTAGTTCTGCCTTTTAACTAGCACTGTACAAGAGTTCCAGTTTCTCCACAGCCTCTCCAACACTTGTTATTTTCCAGTTTTTGCTTTTTTTTAAATAAGTGTATTATCTCATTGTGGTTCATCCACCAATTTTTTCATCTGCCCACCTAGTAATCCAAGCAGCTGTCTTTCTGTACTTCATCTACTCATCCATTTTATCCATCTTCCCCTGGAGTAGCTCCACCTTAGGTTGAGCCATATGAAAATGCTGGTATTTAACTATTTTTGACATAGAAAAACAGCAGTTTCATGTGGTTTCACCTAATCCAATTCCAGCAACATAATGAAGTCAATGGGACTGAAGCATAGGGCACTGACAGGAGTAAGTGAGGGATACTCTAAAAAATACTTTCTGGGGCCAAATTAAAGAAAGTTTTGAAAACCATGCAAAAGAGACTAGATTTGTTTCAGTGTGGAATGCTCAGTTACTGCAAATATCCACTGATTGTATCATTCCATCTAGCATTTGTTGAACTCTGCGTCAACATTCATCTATCTATCCACCCATCCACACATCTCCCCATCCCTCAGCTATAGATGAATGTTTATATCCCACTTTAAATATGGTCCCAATATAATATTAAGTAAAGGTCAGGACATTAAACCCTATATACAATACACATATAGTCTACATATGCACATGCACACAAAATTATCCCAGCATGATCTTCATAAAGACTGTAAAGAAACAGGATTATTGTTCAATGGCAAAACTATAGATCTTAACTATTACTTTTAAAATAAAAGTAATAAATATTCAAAACAAGCAAAATAGTGATTAGAAAATACATTATGGAGGGATAAAAAAGAAATAATAATACTGTATTGTATATTTGAAAGTTGCTAAAAGAGTAGATCTCATCACAAGAAAAAAGTTTTTAACCATATGACTTAATGTGGTGATCATTTCACAACATACACAGACATCAAATAAAAAAAGATAACTTTTGTGGAGTTAAAAAGTAGTAGTTTTTTAATAAAATAATGCCATTTGCTGCAACATGGATGGAACTGGAGATCGTCATTCTAAGTAAAGTAAGCCAATAAAAGAAATAAAAATACCATATGATATCACTCATACATGGTATCTAAAAAAAAAAAAGACAAATGAACTTATTTGCAAAACAGAAACAGACTCACAGACATAGAGAATAAACTTATGGTTACCGAGGGGGAAGGGAGTGGGAAGGGATAAACTGGGAGTTTGAGATTTGCAGATATTAGCTACTATATATAAAATAGATAAACAAGTTTATACTGTATAGCACAGGGAACTATATTCAATACATTGTAGTAACCTATAATGAAAAAGAATATAAAAACGAGTATATGTACGTATATGTATGACTGACTTATTATGCTGCACACCAGAAATTGACACGACATTGTAAACTGACTACAATTAAAAAGTAGTCGTTCTAGTAGTCTTATTTTTATTTTCAAAAACAAAAGATGAGTCTGTTTAATTTTATTTTGGGCATTGTCTTCTCATTCAATAAAATGCAGGGGTTTTATCGTTTTAAAATGAATTTTCTAAAGCTTCACTCCATAAAGGAAAGATTGACAGATTGATGCTAAAGAACTTTTTCAGTCTGCAAGCAAAAAAGAGCCCATAGAAAATCAAAAGGTGAAACACAGAGAAGTGACTTGGAATGTATCCTTACTATAGAAAAGGCTCTGAAAATCAATAGTAAAAGATGAACATCTCAAAACCATGACAAAGAAAATCCCATCAATAATGTGGATAATAAATATACTTTTAAAGTTCTGCCTTACAAGTAATGAAGACATACAGAGGAAGGTAAAAATGAGGCATCATATTGGTAATTTTTTTGGAAAAAAGATAACACTGGTAGCAAAAGTTTAGGGAACATGCTGCCCTTAGAGTCAAACAGGACACAGGTGGGAATTTTAAAAATGTGCAATCTCTCTAGAGGGCAACTGAACAAAATGCTTCAAAAGCCACTAAAATGTACAAAGACCCTCAAAATCTGTTGCTTAGAGTTCAAGAAAGATATTACAAAGGGTCCAAAGACGTATGCCTAGGGTGTGATGCATGTCACACAGGAGGTCCTGGAGAAGAGCCCCATGGGGTGAGGGAGGGTTAGTGAGGCAGGATAAGGTGCATCTGGGTGACAGGCCGTCAGGCGGGACATGAAGTATGATGGTGCAGATGCAAATGTCAGATAAATAACTCCTGACGGAAAGAATGCTCTTAAAATACTAAGTTTTCCCCCCAAAATCAAGATATAAAACAGTACGTATAATATAAACCTATTTTGCTATCTGTATGCCATACATATATGTGTATATATGTATCAAATACACATGTAACATCTATGTGTTTGCTTGTGAAAGAAATAACACACGCCAAAGCATCAGTGGACGTTATCTCTGGGTGGTGACTCTATAATAAAACAGGAAGGGGAGGCATTGCTTATCTCTGGTTTCTAATTATTCTATAGGAGATTGTGTATCCCAGAATAATACATAAAATAACAAAAGTCCAGTTTGGCGCTGTGATTCTGACACCCTGAATCTTTTACAAGGAAGTCCCGGAGCAGCTCCCAGTCCTCCCGTCGCCGGTGACCGGGCTGATGATCAGCCCGACAGGCAGGCAGCCCTCCTCCCCATTCCTGCTGGGGCTGCTCCTCAGAACGTCCTCTGCAGGGGCCCATGGGCTCAGCAAACTCTGCAATCAAGGGCCACCAAGGAGGGCTCCAGTGACTCGTCCAAGCCCACCCATTCCCAGGTGGCAGAGCGGAACTAGAACCCAGGACTTGTGACTTCCTGGGTTGCCTTTCTCCTGGGTTCACTGTTTTTTTTCACCAAGGTGAAATTCACAGAGCAAAATGCACCATTTTAACCATTTTAAAGTGTACAACTCAGTGGCTTTTAGTATATTCACAGAGTTGTGCAAAACCACCAGCACTAATTCCAGAATATTTTCACCACCCCGCAAAGAAACCCTATTCCCATTAGCAGTCACTCCCCAACCCCGCTCCTCCCAATGCCTGGCGACCGTGTTCTGTCTCCGTGGATTTCCTATTTCAGACGTTTCATGTAAACGGAATTGTACAATATTTATCCTTTTGTGTCTGGTTTCTTTCACTTAGCATGTTTTCAAGGCTCACCCATGTAGCATGAGTCAGTACTTCACTTCTTTCTGTGGCTGAATAACATCCCACTGCATGGACAGCCCACCTTCTCCCAGTTAACTTTTACAGTTGTGATGGGCTCACGGCCCCACGTCTTACCCCTGTGAGAGCTTGTCTCCAGCTCCTCCTCCTCCAACCCAGTACTCCCTGCCCCCTAGTCAGGGTTTCAGCACACTTCTGCCCAACCAGAGTCCTGTCTAGGGCTCTGGGGATGGACTGGGTGTGTTCATTTATCAGTCAGTAACTGGGGTGAAAGGGCACAGATTTAAGCCCCTCACTCACTAGACTCGTCTAGACTTGGGGAGGGGGTGTCCTGTCAAGTGTGAGGCCAGACAGCCAGGGACGGCCAGCTCATGCTTGCACTGCCTTCCTCCTCTCCTCTCTTCCTCACCTGAGTCCCACCATCCAACCTGGTGCAGCGCTCAATGCCACCTCTGGAGACAGGCCACCCTGCTGTCCACTCTGATCGCCCTGGCACTATTCTATGTCATGGACCTCACTCAGTGCCAAGGACCAGTGACCCCGCACTCCCTGATCTTCCCACCAGCCTTCCCAAAAGGCCCAAGAGGGGCACACGCACACAGCAGGAGTTCTGGTGCAGGCTGGTGCTGACCGGAAATGGTGCTCACCCAGAAAGTCATCAAAGGAGAACTTGTCGTTGTCCCAGATCTGGAATATCACTCGTGCTGGGATCTTGCTCTCGGTCTTGTCCAGCCTCCAGAAAGCATCCTGGCTCAGAGGAGGAAGCAGGGAAGCAGGATTAGAGAGAGGCAGTGGTCCCTTCCAGCCTGGAAGGCTGCCTGGAGGAGGTAGCAGAATGGGACATCCCTTAGGGACTTGCCAGAGCCAGGCACTGGCAGGAAGACTGCTGAGACCCCAGGACAGACAAGGGCCCAGGAGGGTACCATGCAGGCTTACTGCACATCAGGTGGCTCCTTTAATCCTCGAAATCCTGTGAGTCAAGGTTCTCATTCCCATTTTACAGATGATGAAACAAAGGCTTGGAGAAGATAAGAATTTGCCCAAGGTCTGACAGCTAATAAAAACAACATTAATATTACACATCTAACACACTAGGCCTTTTCCACTATGAAATCATTTATCCTTCCAACAGCCTATGAGGGAGATACTATCCTTGCAGCTGAGGAACCCAGAGCGAGTAATTTATCCAAGTCACACAGCTGGGAAGTGGCACGCTAGATTCCAACCCAGGCAGTCAGGTTCCAGAGTCCTACTCTCACCAGTTAATCCTGCTCTGCCCATGTGATCTTGGGACAGGGTGGGCTGGCTAGGAATCTGGGGGCCTGCTGTGAGTCCCCACCCCACATTCACCTCCAAGAGCTTGCCCCAGAGCAAATCAAAAGCCCCCGGCGCTGGAAAGTTCCCCACCCCTCGTGCTCCCCTCTACCCACTCCAGACCAGCCAGCCTGGAACAGCATCATCTCGGGCTTCTTTCCACAGAGGCCTCGTGGAGCTGCTGATGGGTGGGGAGTGGGCTTGCTGGGGCCTGGATCACCCCTGGGTCCAGCCACACACAACCCAAAGGGCCGTCCCTGGGGCCTTGCCGCACCTGTCTCTGTCCATTCACTGCAGCTTTCTCTGAGTGGGTGGCCAGGGGAGGAAACACTCTGACCACCCTACAGATGGTGGGTGGCCAGTCCTGAGCGCCAGGTCCCAGCAGGGGCCTAGATCCAGCATCAGGGGGAGAGCCTCCATGGCAGGTCGGGGAGCACTGCTCACCACGTAGGGCCTGTCTGGCCCCGGGGCCCCTGTGCACACAGCGTTGCTGCCCCGCTTGTGACCACTCCAGATCACGCGGACCCCACAGAGCTCCCACACTGAAGACTGTGGCCAGCGGCCCCTGGAAATGATCACCTTGCAAAGTCGCCGGCTGCAGCCTGGACTGCGGCCCCTGTTGGTGAAGGGGCTCAGGTTCCCACCTGGCCCCTGGCCCCTGACTCCCAGCCCCCATCTGGTGCCTCCCCTTTTTCCAGGCCCCTGCTCTCTTGCAGGTGCCTCCCTCCTCTGGCGGGCCTTTTATGGCCAGCTCCGCAGACCCGCCTGCACAGGCCGCCAGCATCCTCCATGCCTCTGGCCGGCCTGGTTTATGGGCTCAGTAATGAGCCAGAGGTTCAAACGGCCCCTGGTGGGAGCAGCTGGGCTGGGGCTCCAGCCTGGGGAATGGCCCCCCAGGTCCCAGGCACTCATTATGCTCCCGGTCTGGGCCCTTTTACTAGCTGTTTATTTGCAGGGTGGGTGCCTGACGCGCAGGCAGGCCCCGGTGGGTGTGCTGGGCTCCAGGTGGGGAGCCGGCCGGGGCGACCAGCGGTGGTTCAAAGCAGCCGGATGAAAGGAGACCTTGTACTTTACGACAGTCTCGTCTGGTTAATGGGGTCCCTGGAGGGCCTGCCTGCCAGAGGCCCTGAACCCCTCGGCAGAGGGCTGGCTCTGCGGCAGGACTGGGGCGCCCAGAGGCTGTGCGGTGCCCAGCACTCACCACCCCTGACTCAGACCTTCAATTGGTGCCTCCCCCGGGGGGGTACATCACCCCTTGTCTCCCAGAGTCCTTTCTCCCAGAGGGGCCTGCTGGCTCTGTCTCCTGTCCAGCTAGTCCCTCCCTCACTTTCCTGGTTGACTTCAGGACCCCCTGACTGTTTCTCAACCTCCTCTCCTGACCTCTGCCACCCCTCCCTCCAGCCATTCTCCCGGAGCCACGCGGGTGGAATTCCCTTTCCCTCAGCCCTCCCAGCTCCCCATGTGCCTCTCCTGGACTCCTTTGTCCTCCCAACCCAGCATCTCCCATGGTCTTCTCGTTCTCCCAAGGCTAGCCCAGGCCTTGGGGCCATTAGGCCAACTGGTCCCTTCCCTCAGCCCCTCTCTTCCTCTGGAACTCCACCGTGGGTCAGCCCAACCCTCTCCTTCCTTGCTGGTGTCTATAGTGCAGAGATGAAACCCATGGTGGCCAGAATGGTGCCACCTCAAATTCTTCATCAGTGACCCCAGTGGGGCCCTCAGAACTGCCGGGTACCACCTGTTAGCTCTCAGGTCCTCGCTTGCCCCCTTTTTCTCCCTCACTCCGCATAATAGCTACTTCCAGCCTTTCTCATTTGTCTAAGTCACCTGCCACAGTGCCAGGAGATTCTCTCTCCCTACTTTGTAGGAAAAACAGAAGCCTCTGCTTCCTGGAACTCCTTGCCCACATCTCCACCTGTGACAATGAAGAGGCGGCCCCGCCTCCCATGTGTGCAGGCCAATTTGGCATCTCTCAGCTGCCATTCCCCATCCACACCTCGCCTCTTGTGGGGCTTGGTGAGCACGGGAGGTGGTCCCAGCCACCCCTCCCCATTCCCTCTGTCCTCAGCAAGGACAGGTGCTGTTTGACCTGGAGCTCTCCCCGGCACATGCAGCGTTTGCTTTGTATGGAAACATCTTGTGATACACAAACACACTGAGCAGAACAAACAAAATTAAACCCACAAACAGGCTAGGCTTTCCTTGACTGCATAGCATCCGGGGTTGTGGCTAAACTCTGCTTTCCGGCAGGCGCTGTGCAGCGATCCCTGGATGGAAGAACGCATTAACCTTGCTTAACCCACATTTTCTTTTGTTTGATGGCTTCAGAATGTTCAGTGGAACATTCTGGTTTCTCTACAGGGCAGATGATGCTGCTTGGGAAGGGGTCACATGGAAAAGATGTCATGAAGAGAGTTAAGAGGCCCGAGGCAGCTGAACTACACCATGCATTTCCCTTCTTTAAGCCATGCAATCAGGACGGAGAGAAGAGTCATAGAAGCTTTGAGGCTTGAAGCCTTGCACCACCTCTGGAAGGAAATCAGACCAGCAGGACGTAAGCACCAGAGAGGCACTCTCCCTGCGGAGCAGGAGAGCGCCCCGCAAGTGGAAGGGATTCTAGGCAGGCAGCAGCAACAGAGGGGCCCTCCACCTCCAGGCAGCTGACCGCCCGCAGCCCCCTCCCACCTGCCCTGGGCGCTGCTCCCCAGGGGCACGTTTGGGGCCACCACCCACCTCGGGACCCTCCTATCTCAGGAGAAAAGAGTTCATGGCCCAGATGAGACCCAGACTCGGAGATGCTGCCCCACAAAGAGCTGAGGTCTCTGAATCTGAGAAAGAGACGGGCCTGGAAGGGCAGAGCCACTCCCAGTGACTACACAGCCTGGACAGTGGCCACAGGCCCCAGGCACAGAAATGTGAGAGAGAAAGTAGCCGCGGGGACTTGGCGAAGCAGCACCGAATCCAAAGAGGGCCCAATCCGCAGGCCAGCCCAGCCCTCTAGGGCCGCTGTCCCTATGGGGCCTGCCCCACTGCCCTCTGATGACCGTGCAGGGTTTCCCTACCAATGTTCTCCCCACTTGGACCCCCACGGCCCTTCCTGCTGTGTGGTTTGTTAGGATCTGGACTTAACTACATATCATGGTTGGGGCACTGGTGTGGGGGTGGTTGTGGGATGGCGACAATGCTAAGCATGGCAATGGTGGCAGAAGCGGAAGGAGAAGAGGGGATGGCGACATGGGGTGGTGGCTTTAGCAGTCAT